TATTTCACACAAACACTCCATCCATGCTTTTGTTCCGGCCCTCCGGTCCAGTATAAGAACCCATTGTGGTCCTCAAGTCAAAAAATTTGCCCACCCCTGGGCTAGAGTGAGAGGTGGGTGAGGAGGATTGTCCCAGGCTGGGGTGGGGCCTGAAGGAGCCAGACCACCTTCTGCACTTGCCCAGGGAGGCCCAGGGCTGGAGGCTACCTGTGGCTGGTGGAGTGGAGCCCCCCTCCCCCAAGCCTTTGCCCAGGCCTGTGTCAGCCCCACCCCTGCCTCATAAATGGGGGTGCGGGGTGCGGGTGGGGGGGCGCACATTCATGCTTCAGCAACCCCTTTCAGCTGTGCAAAGAGCCAGCCTGCAGGGAGTGTCCTGAGGAGCGGCAAGGCCCCAGGGAATCCCTCTGCCTCCCGCACCAGGCCCCAGAGGGGATGGGAGAAAACGGGCAGTGGGTGGGACCAGGCAAGAGCTGCACCTCCCCCTGCTTCTCCCCTCAGCCCCCACCCAACCCCACGTAACCAGGGGCCCCCAGCACCCCGGGTGCGCCACCCTGGGAGCCTCTGCCAGCCACCATGGGCCCTGGAATCAGCACCCTGCCCTCCCCACCCAAGGTCGGGTTGGGGCCACAGAGACACCTCAGCTGTCTTAAGGCTGTAGCTTCCAAGCTGGCCAGGATGCCACAAGCAGGAATCACGGTGTGGCAGCCAGTCCAGGGCGTGGGAACTTGTGTGTAACATGGGTCCCAGTGGGGGCAGGACAGGGTAGAAACGAACGTGGTCCGATGAGTCCTCTAAGACCAGCATCCTCCTGGTCCTGTTACTCAAGAGCCACCTGCATACTCGCTTGGTACCCCCTGCATGTGAGCCCTGGTCAGAGGCTGGAGCAAGGAAGATTCGGGCCCTGTCCAGGACCCTGGGTGCGGGAGCTGGCCACAGAGAGGACTGGCTCTGCCCTTGACCTCCAGCCCCTGCCCCTGCTACCAGAGCAGCCTCCATCTGGGGTCTGAGTGGACCACAAGCTCCTCAGAACAGAGTGTGAGGTGGAGGTGACTGTGAGGGAGGAGTGGCCAACTCTTCCCCCCATCCTGAGAGTCATGCGCTCACAGCCGTGGGCAGGTGCTTGCTGCAGGACACTGGCAGAGGCTCTCTCGGGCCCCGCCTGCCCCACCTGTCCCCCCCTGCCCCCGCCCCTCCTGCAGAATCTCCCACCTCAGCCCAGCCTCAGCCCCCAAGGTCTGGCCCTTAAGTGATGGGATATGAAGTCAGACCACATTCCAGGGAGAGGGGGGCAGAAGAGCAGCTTACAGGTTTAGGACAGGTCTCCGATGGAGATGCTGTGCAGCAGCCCAGATCACACAGAGTGTTGGGAGCCGCTGGTGCAGGACAGAGCTGACCCTCAGGGTACCACCCTGGAGCATGAGGCGGGGGGCATTGTGCTGCTCCCCAAGGGCAATGAGGACTAGGGAGGGGCATTCGCGGTGGCAGAGGCAGAGGCTGCCCCACCTCCCCCAGCTTGTTTGTTTGGGGCTGGCAGGTGCCCCTGCTGGGTGGGTCCCAGTACCAGCCTCTGCCTAATCCCTGCTCCCACCCAGAGCAGCTTGGCTGGATTTCCAGGAGTCTCTCACCTCCCAGGCCTGCCCACACACAACCCACACCCTGACCGAGCCGCTGTCCGCCCCCAGCCCCCACGCGTGAGGCTGTGGCCAGCCCCTCCTGAGCCTGAACACTGAGCTGGGTACCAGGTGACCCTGGCACAACCCCATGCCCCTGCCCAGGGTCCGGGTAGGGCCTGCCCATAGTGACTCTGGAGTCCAGAGTGATGGACCAAACCTGAGCCTCCTTGGCCGTGTTTTCCTCAGCTGCGAAGTGGGTGGTCAAGCGGCAGCAGCCTTTGGGTCTGTCCGGGAAGCAAATGAGGCATTGCCGGTGCAGCGGGGAGCAGCGCTGCTCATGCTCCAGGAATGTGTGGGTGGGGACCCTGTGGAGGGGCCGCCCAGGAGGAGAGGTGCGGGTGGAGAGCTGCCTGGGCCCTTCCCTTGGTGGGTGTGGGTGGAGCTCCGGCTGACCTCCAGGTACCAGGCACCTGTCGGGAGCCAAGGCCTTGCTCCATGGGCTCTTACTCTCCTATTGCTCAGGTGGAGAAACTGAGGCTCAGTGAGTGGCCGAAACTGCACTGCATGGCCAGGGTGTGATCTGTCTCCCAGGGGGCCCTGGCGGCGTCTCCACAGGCCACCCACCATCCATGCTAGGTGGTGGCCACTCAGCCAGGATGTGACTCCCAGAGTACTGGCCACACTGTGGCTTCTTTCTAATGAGTCCTGGGCTCTTGGTAGTGCAGTGAAGTGGTTGGGTGGGGGGCTGCAAGGGTCCAGGGGTCGGGGGAGACAAATCCCACCCGACCGGCTCCAGCGGGCACACAGCACTGCTCTCCAGCACAGTGGGCCACGGGAGCCCACCTGCCCGGCACTGGCTGTCGCCGGATGGGAGGAGGAAGGAGCCCTCCTGGTGCTGTGGCTGCTGGCCACTGGGCATGGACAACGCGCACCTCTGTGCTGGCTGGACTCCAGTGACGGCTCACTGATCCCTGACTTTAGACCACAGCCTCAGGCGTGTGGCCTTGAGGCCGAAGTCACTGGTGACTCCCTCACTTCCCCGCCACCCCTCCGATGGTGTTGTGAACAGCAGTTCCCTGTGTGGGACTTCTCTGAGTTACAGTCCCACAGAGGTTTCCTTCTGCTGCGCTGAGCATGTGCCGCTGCCCCCTCCCTGACCAGCTCCATGGGCTGGGTGTCCTACATGTGCAGTTAAACCAAATGCTAACTGGACGGGCATGCCTCGTTTCATTTGGCTTCACAGATGCTGCTATTTCTTTTTTACAAATTGAAGGCAAGACCCTTCCCCAGCAAAAACATGATGACTTGCTTTATTGGGGTGGTCTGGAACGGAACCCTCAATATCTCCAAGCTACGTCTGTACAAAATTCAACCAGGCTGCCCGGTACAAGAATCAACTGACGAAGTCCATAGCGGAGCAAGTGCCTTAAAGTCTTGTCCGCAGACAACAACTGAAAAGTTCTGACAAAATGTGAAAAAAACAGTTTCCCAAGGCCCCTCCAGAGTGAACAGAAGTCAGATCCTGAGGGGAACTGATAATTGGGAAAGGTGCCAGCATGGAGCGGTTCTCTGTGTGAGGCGCGGCTCTGCCATGGAGACTGCCCGGGGTGTGGCCACCGGGTGTGAGGGCTCAGACTTGACCTGACCCCCGAGTCATGCGTGTGCAGGCGGACTGGAAACAGCTCAGACAGATGGGAAATGGGCCGAGACTGACCTCTGCCCGCCTCGGGAGCAGCAGAATTCACAGTGAAAGATACGGCCCACCAGAACAAAGCAAAAGCAGGAACGGTCTTCCCAGAAATGTAACGATTCAGTGTCTACACAACATCATAGTCACATTGTTCATGAGAAAATCCAAAACTACTCGGCACAGGAAAAGCCAGGAGGTTGTGACCCAGCCTCAGGGGAAAAGGATCGACTGGGGCCCATACCAAGTCAGTTATTAGAACTACAGACAAGGATTTTAAAGAAGCTATTGCACTACCCCCATTGCAACCACACCCAAAGAGACCATGGAAAACAAGCTTTTGTGAACTGAGAGGTAGGGGAAATGGAAAATATCTTTTTAAAGAACCAAATAGGAAATTTTAGGAATCAAAAATTCAAACTCTGGAATTTTAAAAATTCACTGGATGGTCTTAATAACAGGATTAATCACTTCTAATTGAGGGTTGGGTGGGAGCTTCTCAGCTGCACAGTTCAATGGATTTTAAAGTGTGGAAATTTCCTTTGTGTTTGCATCAAGAACAACTGTTTAGCCAAAACCGGTTTGGCTCAGTGGATAGAGCGTCGGCCTGCGGACTGAAGGGTCCCGGGTTCGATTCCGGTCAAGGGCGTGTACCTGGGTTGCGGGCACATTCCCAGTAGGAGATGTGCAGGAGGCGGCTGATCGATGTTTCTCTCTCATCAATGTTTCTAACTCTCTATCTCTCTCCCTTCCTCTCTGTACAAAATCAATAAAATATATTTTAAAAAAAAAAAAAAAGGACAACTGTTTGAGCTCAAAAGATACAGCCTCTGCAGACGGGCATGGGAATGAGGAGTTCGCTTCTTGTTTTAACTCTGACAGCACAGGAAGTGTGTAAAGCGTGTTACTGGTGATTCACAGAGCACTCGTTGTTAATATGACGGTAGTACATTACGTGTTTTGCATATAAGTGCTGTTTTCCATTGTAATTTTAGG